CTTGTCGAGATCGGCATCGCACCGCGCCGATATGCTTTAAAGACCTAATGGTCGATAAAGCTGATCAGAATTTACCAAATTCATCTACGAGTTTAATTCGTCTCGTATTTTCGTTTACTTTCGAACTGATACTGTGCTGATGCTACTTGATAACTGACAATTTTATGAATATAGTAAATGATAATAAATTAGGAATCGCCGCGCCGCGTAATGGATGGGATTATAAAATAAGCTTCGAGCCGCTCTGCTTCGCCTAATAGACTTTCAGCTATGTTAAAAGTACCGTATACGTATGTATGGTCTTTGTTATAAATATGAGAAAATCAAATGGGCCATTTATGGTTAACGGTGGTTTTCCCAAAGATAAGGGTGATAAACTTATGATTTTTATTTAATATTTGTTTGTGTAGTAGGGTCACAAAAATATTTTATTATAGATAAGACTTATAATACCTTCATTGTCTTGTAACTTTCATTTAGGAATGTTGTATTTATAAATAGGTATATATATATTATTATTATATAATATATTATAATAATATCTTAATAATATAATTATATTATGATTGTTTCTAATCGTTACGGCAAAGTTTTAGAAAGTTTTTTGTTAACTTCATATTATTTTTATCAAACAAAATTTGGTTGTGATTCCCTTTTCTTAAAAATATTGACTTAAGAATCATAACATATTACAACTTCGAATATGGTATTTACTCTGTGATGCTATAGTTAGTACTATCTATGTAAATAAAATATAAAAATCGTAAAAACTTTTTGCTGTTTTATTTAATTAATAAAAAAAAAATTAGAATAAAATATTCTTAAATTCATATTAATGCAATTCATTGTATATAAATTAATATTTAAATAAATATAATAAATTATATAATCAACAATGACAATATGTTTGTTCTTAGTATAAACAAAAGCGTGTCTTTAATTTAAATGTACGACTTGGTTGTGGATATGTTATACTTCGTTCTTATACATACGTATGTAAGCCATTTGAGAATAGAGATCTTATTTTATTTAAAGTGTCTTTATTGTAGAACCATTATAACTAATTAGTTATTTCTGTTAAAAATGGATTTATACAACAAAAGTGAACTTGTTTTTTGTGTTTAAAACTTTTCACTTTTCTTTTTTAATTTACAGTCTAATTATATAATTATTACAACATACACCGTAGAAAAATTATTATTTAACTTGTCAAAACACGTACTCAATTAAATTTATAGCATAAATGAACAACCATAAAAACAAAATTCTCAGAAGGCAAAAAATATAACTTATTATATGATTGTATTACTATCGGTAAATTTCTTAACTATAAGTAAAATAACTAGTTTATAACAAAGTCAAATTAAAATCCATCACTGCTTCACATACCATATTTTTTTCTCTCTTATTACCCACAGGAATCATTTGATATTATTATTTTGTACACAATTTTAAATTCAATTTCATTAAATTGTTATAAATTTAAACTTAAAAATATATTGCTTAATATATGGTTATGAAGTTATAACTGTAAATAAAAAATTCGTATTTAATTAAAGATTTGAATACACTTATCTTCTACAAATCTCTCATTTTTATGATATATAGAACTGTATTCATCTCCCATTTTATTATTACTATTTAACTTACTTAATTATTTATACATATGATACTACTACCATGATGTTTATTGTAAATGTTAATATTTCACTCCTCATATATTATACTGTGTGCTATTCTTGATTTTATTATTTTAATGGCGAGCAAGTTAATGTTAAAATATAAATTGAAAATATTTCTATTTAGCTACATATTTAAATATATTCATATCCTCACGCATTATGTCTTATATGCAATTAAACATTACACCCTGTCATTTGTTATTTTTTGAATAATCGTCGATATCTGTCAGTATATTTACAAACAATTAGATAAAGACGATGTATCTAGAGCATTTCATTTTACAATTTTGATATTTTATTTTCACATTAAATTAATTGTCCATTCAAGTTCTATAATACAACTACATAGTATATTATAAAGAAGGAATATTTAAGTAGTTTTAATTGATACATTTACAAAACAACAGAATACTATATAGTTTGTTTGCATTAATATTTTATATTATTACCATTATTATTATTATTTATATTTTTAATATACTGGTAACTGTAGTCAGAAAAATATTTGACGACTATGTGTGTAGATTGGAATACAATAAAAATGTCAGATATAATCATACTTTTGACTGCGAAAAATAAAAATACAATTTATTTGAGAAATAAACATTAAGACGTTTTTTGAAGAGAATTTGAAGTTTTTCTAAAATAATATAAATATTTATATTATAATTATAATGGTCTAACATACAATTTTTTTTTTTTTTTTATTATTATTTATTATATTTATGGAAAAGTTTAAATTTTAAGAAAGAAAAAAAAGTTGTTTATACATTGTTATGATTTACACATTGAAAATAAAAAGCTGTTGAACATAATATTATAAATCCATTGTTCGCATAGCATAGTTTAATAGTAAACGGTTAGAAAATTAATTACAGTAATTATTTAGAACTACAGATTTTTGGAATAACCACCCTATGATTTTTTGTTATTTATTTATATTGAATTTGAGAAATTTAGTTTTATAAATTAGCGTTATAATTTTACGACAATCAGATAATATCAATTTCAAAATGTGTAACAGAATATTATAGAAAGTGTCGACGATGTTAACTAAGAATTAATATTTATTAAAGAAGACTAATTTGTAAAAATAATTAATAACAAAATTATATCTTAGTTTTTAATATAATTGAAAGTGTAGTAATTGCAATTATATTAAAAACTAAGCCTTATTTGTGAAAAAATATTATTGTGAACTCTTACAAATGTACCTATCATCGATATGCCTAACTGTTTATTTTATTTTTTGTTTGGCTTACATGAACTTATCGTACGCTTTTTAACACTATCTCTTTATGTAAATTTTATCCTTTAAACAAATATAATAATAATTTGACCATAAGTGGAAATACGCCACTATTACTACTACATTGTGTCATAACTGAACTATATTTGCTATATAAATGCTATTGTTTTTGTGAATTTGTTAATTTTTCAATATTTAAATTTAAGTACATTTACATTATATGTACTAATTTGTCGTAATAATCTTCATTGTGTATTCCTTGTATGAAATTTATTGAAGAAGCTATACATTGGCAGGTAAAATTAAGTTTGTCTCGTTGAAAAAAATTATTCAATTTCTCAAATATATATTAATATTATGTTAGTTAAGTGTTTTAAGTGTGACTTAGTAGAATAATAAAAAAATACACTAACAATTTAAATTCTTTGAGCTTATTTAATATATATTATGTCATTTGTAGAAGCTTGTGTTTAAAATTAAATTTAAATTTGTAGTCGAAAAATAAAAAAAATTTAAATAGTCAATAAACTCTGTTAAATAACTAAAACTAAAACTTAGAAAACACTTGCCTATACATTTTTTTTTATTTTTTTTTTTAGTCAAACAATTTTTTTACGTAAAATGTTACTATTTTGTTTTATGCCAAATGTATGCAAGGAACTGAAACATTTAAAAAAGGTGGTCATTAAATCAAAATTTATGAAATTTATCAAAGTTAAATAATTATTTTTAAATTTCAATAATCTTTTTATTATATGATCACGCATATAGAATGATTTTTGTTGGAATTAAAAATTGTGCGCTTTGACATCGAGTATTGATATTCCCCATGGTATTTCACGTATTTGAACCGAAGAAAAAAAATTTTCTGTGTTCTTTTTCCCTTTCAAATATAAGTTTCATATAGTGTTGGTTAAGCCTCGAAACGAATAGGACATTTGTATTAAGGATGGTGATGGTGGAACTTTTTTCTTTTTTTTTTCTTGTTTTATTTTTGTTTTGTTTTCTTTTTTGTTTCTGTACTTTATTTTTATTCTTTCGAACGCGTGACAGCGGTCCATAGAATTACACGAGAAAAAATAAAGGGTGAAATAATAGAGATCTACTTTTTAAGCTCAACCGTCGTGCGCCAGTTGGAAGAAACACACGGACAAATAATAATTTAAATGCATAGTTTAGTGTGTATAGATACTCCGCTAAAATAGCCCTACCGATCCCAAATAATTGTTGGAAAAAATACAAAAGTAATGAAAATATCATTAAAATTCAACAAACCTTGTTAAATGTGAAATGGTGAATGTTAAGACCAACGTACGATGTGCTATACGATTGTAAATGATAATGATCAGCTAATCATCCATATTCCTTTTAATTTACAGTTTCAAGAGGGGAATTATGGCTAGGTTTTTTTTTTTTTTTAGTTATCGTAGTACCTACATTTTATGTCTTTATTATTTGCGTATATTATTATTTTTACAAATAACGTTTTTCCTTTTAATACATTATTAAACCATACTCATTTCAGGATGATTTTGGACTATTTTGAGCACAATACATTTTGATGAATATGAACTTAAAACAATAATTGTTGACTGTTAATATTGGGGAGGAAAATACAGTCGATGTGAAATAATATTAAATGCATTGAATGCATTGTATTAAGTAAATTTGAAAATTAAAGTTATAATGTGGTATATTATATATTATTTTGGAGGTCGTTGGATGGAGAATATAACATGTTTTATGTTTAACAAAATATTTTAGAGAATACATTCTACGAAACAGTAAATCCATTGATATTTATTATTTTTTTTAGTGATAAACTTCTGAAACAATTATTAATATTATCATTGAATTTTTTTATTGGTCCTTCTGTTAAACACAAACACATATTGTTCTACAACTAAGTGATCTTATTGGTTGTAACTTGCCGCCGGTGAATGTGTGTCCAGATCTTGTTAAGCGCGTTAAGTAGCATTATTATCGCTATGTGTACTGAAGCCCAGTACAAGACGCACGAGTTCTATTTTATATAAAACGTTGTTAATTTTCTTTTATTCCCTCAACAGCCTAAACAACGAATCCTTAACTCCGTGGTACGTGAGCAACGATACAACAGAGCGGAACGAGAGGGCGCGGAAAGCGTATGGCGCATTGCTGACGGTGACGGCTCGTACACCCAACAACGATGCCTATCGCAACTTTTCTGTTGAAGTAAGTAAAAAAAAAAAAATTAAGTTAATTTTAATAAATATGCACCAACCGGGTCTGATTTAATAACGTTAATGTTTTTTTTAATTTTTTTTTTAATTTATTTATTTTTTAAATTGCGTTTACAAATTTGTCGCAAAATCATAATTTGATTGGAAATCAATATATAACCAGTGTTGGGACTTATCTAGACAGATTTTTTGTCATCTTTCATCTTATCTAGATAATTGTCTGTATTCTTGCCAAGATTAGAGTTATTTTTATTCTTGTACGAAAACAAATCCATCAAATCAGAGAGCTTCAAAATCGGTCCAGCCGTTCTTGAATTATAAATTCTGTAAATAACCCGACTTTCTTTTATACATATAGATTTTCTATTCATAATCATAATTCGTGTATTATTAATAAGTAATTATAATTTTTTGGTATGACATTTTGTTTGTATTTTCATATCGGGAAAATAGTTATGGTGTTTTTAAATTTAATTTCTTATTTTTTCATGGAAGTTCCAAGTATAGTAGGTATTTGATTTTAGTATACACATGTAATTTATACGCTGAATAGTCATTACTTCACTCTTGAAATCCGTAAATTCGTAATTATTTATAGAATAATGAAAATCATTAAATTAATATTATATGGAAAACAATATTGTTAACTTCAAATAATTTTTTATGTATTATGTATTCATCCTGATACGTACAGAGCAATTTTCATTTTTTTTTATGTAACATTTTAGTGATCAACTATCATTGAATATTGTACATTATATATAAATACCTACTGCTTAATGATATACTACATTACTACAATAAACATTAAACACCTAGGTACCTATCGATAATAATTATTATAATTGAGTCTTCATAGATATTATTAGAATATGAAATGTTAACCAAAAAATAACATTTTTTGAAAATATCTTTTTTTTTATCTAGATAAAAATGAAATTATCATTTATCTTTATCTAGATGAATTTGGACATATTATCTTTCATCTTTATCTCGATAAATTTTGCATTATCTATTCCCAACACTGTATATAACAATTATATTACTATCGATTAGTTTCATTAAGTGGATTTCGAACTATACGAATCGCACGAATTATGACAGTGAGCTTATATATGTAGTTTTGAATGACAATAATACATGCAAAGGGAGGAAAATTATCAAATCTGTATGCACGTATATTGATGTATATTGTTGGATTTAATTTAAAATGTATATTATCTATAAAAACCCTGCTTCGTATTTCTAAGTAAACAGTTTCAAGCTCAAAATTACCATTTTGACATTTTTAAATTATAACATTCAAGTTGTCATGACCCTAATAATTTATAAATTCCTCTTTATAACAAAATATACTATAACCATGACTTAAATATTATTTACTTAAAAAAACCAAAAAAAAAAATGGATTTTTGATGTTTAAGATGCTGTGGATATTAAAAATCAATAAATGATCAGTATGATATTTCGTTATTTATTATTGCTGTTCAACTATATTTTCTTTTTAAATATCGATCCAGATAGTTTCGAATTTTGATAATTATTTATGAATTATTAAATATTTTTATGCTATAAATCGACGACATACGCTATTAAAGTTTTACTTATAACCTGATATGTTTAAATAATGTAATTAAAAGTGTATAAAGCTATAAAGGTATAAACATACATAATTATTTTATAGTGAATCATTGCTTTATAAAGCACGTTCACAGCTATATTATTAATAAATTATATAGATATAATAGAGCATATAAACTTTATATTTTTTTGAATTATATATAGGTACATTTATAATGGCATGTCTGTAATATAATGAGTTAAGATCAAATTTTCCATAAATCAGTTAGAAGTAGTAATTTCACTTTTGTGTTATTTGTGTCATTTCATAAATAATTTTCTATTGTATTTTATTTAAATCAAATCATTCATTATATAAATGTCAAAATTTACAATAACTTTTTAACAATTAACTGTAAAATTAATAAATTTTAAAAATTATTTACAACTTATTCTGCTAAGTAAATTTATATATGAACCAATACAACTATAGTATGTGTATTTTATGTTATACATAAATATTTTAAATTTCAAGTGGGGATTAAGAACCTAAATTATTGATACTACTACGATTCGAAAACGCCGTAAAAAATATTGTTAAATTTATTGTAATAATTTAAGTTAATAATACATTTTGTATTTCATTCTTTAACTTAAAAGTTGATTTAAAAATATAAATATTGTTTTATTAACTCAAGAACTAGAGTTTTAAATATATAAATACTCTTAAAGGGTAAAAATGTATTTCTAAGTACATTTAAATAGTCACAATTTCTTTATAAAAGACTAATGTATAAAAAAATAAACTTATGGAAATGGCCAACACTAATAAAATAATTAGACCGTTTAGAATAATTATATATAATTTCATAAACTTGATTATTTTTCTTCATATTTATCCAGATTTTAGTTTTCTTTTTTTCCTCCAGTACATTTTTTTGAGCTTATTTGCATTTTATATTAATTTACGAGATAGGGCTTGTGTATCTGGTTTGACCAACCTTTTAAGAAATACTTATTTTATACTTTTATTGTATTTTTTCTGCGAGCCACCTATTGTTTTATGTACCGTATCACACCTTATACTATTTATAATTATTTATAAAACTATATTATATTTATTAGGAAATATTGAACATTATATTTTTGTAAACGTTGGATCCATGACTTTCAAAATAACGAATTATACGGTCAGAACTTCCACGTGATGGGGTGAAATGAATACGTCAATTCTTTAGTTGTGCTGAAAAAATATTTTAAACCGTGTCAATATATGAAATGGATAATTTATTATACTTTGGGAAGTGAAAAAATTACATGTATAAATTTAGAACAAATTATCATAACTTAAACTGCGAAAAAGTTAAACAGCTTATTTAATTTGATTGAATTAATTCACATATAGTTAATGCTATAACATACTTTATGCTAACGTACACACACAAAATAATGGACGATACAAATGTATAAAGTCTATTCATATTTTATTTTCTAACACTCTCTTATATCTTTTAAATCATCAAGTATGGATTGAGTATTTGTATGATATGTATAATATGATTTAAAGTAAAATACAATTTTCTTCCACTATAAATATATAGTTGAAAAAAGTTTAATGAATATATAATATATATATATATATATATATTAAGGTGGTTCTTATTCATAGAGAAAAATAAAGATGTAACAATATTTAATGACTACAATAACTCACTTTATAATAAGATGGTTAAAAAATTATCAAAAGGGCAGTTTATTCAACATTTATTTGTTTTAAGAAAAACGATGTAAGAATATATTTTATAGAAATTTGTATTTTTAATAATTAATATTTAGTAAATGTTTGTAATAAATGCTTTAGATTTTGAAATAAATTGAAAAAAATCAAATAAACTATCCTTTTGATAATTGTTCTACTCTTTTGTGACTAGAAAATGAATTGAATTATCACACTCAAATTTATCACATATTACTTTCTTATATCAAGTAACAAAATGGGAAGGTAAGAAATCAAAATTATGGACCATCCTAATATATACAATATATGTATAACTATAAAGAATATTATTTTTTCTTTCTTTTCTTGAGATTTTCTTTGAAAATTTCCATTTAGGCCAAGAGATCCACTCAAAACCTAATTAAAAAAAAAAAGAAAATACTTATTTACTTATTCAATAGCTCTATCGTCTTTCTCTTGATGTAATATCACTGTATACTTCCTTTTATCTCATGTTGTTCAATATGGTATAAATCAATTTTTCATTCATTGTATATTCTATTAAATATTGTAAATATTTCTTAATAAAATAAAAAAAAAATTTTGTCATCTAACATTACAATCGTATTTATACAATGGCTTGCTTTTATGTGTAATAAAAGGGTGAGATCAAGTACTTTATATATATAATTACAAATTATTACGGAAATATATGATCAAATATACTCAAATATTTGGGTATAGTAAAAAAATGTATTTCTACTAAATACAACATTCATGATGAAAAATATGTAAATAAACACGACTTGCTATCTTTTGTTATTTATCTATAAGTATACGGAGAAATCAATGCTAACGTGGACATCTTAGGCCGAATAACAGTATCACTATAGTTACACATTTTTAAAGGCTTAACAAAAGTTAAATTAGTAGATTTATCTTATATTAAGCTTCAAGGATTTCTATTTCTAATTGGCCGTTTAATTTGTAAGCATTTTATGACCCTTATTTTTTGTAATATAAATTGTTTTGGATTTTATATCTACACATTGTTTTGTGATATTTAATAATGGCAACAATTCAAAGGGATATTTTGATGAAAAATCTATTATATTTTCAAATTACTCTACATTTTTAAAACATATTTTTTAATCAATTATATTCATAATCGGAAACTGGCCTAAAAAAATCTAAATCTAAATATTTTTATATTTTTTTTTATTGAATAAATAAATTAAAAAAAATAAAAAAATAATAATAAATTATTGTCTTTCCAATTGTAAGTAATATTATTATTAAATAATGATACGCAAAATTTTAAATTAGTTATTGAAATTAATATTAATATAAAATTAGTATTCAAATTGTGGATTACAAACATTAATAATTTAAACATGTTTAATCAATTTAATGAACATTAAACGTAAAAAAATAAAAATTAAATTACACATTTTTTTATCAAAGCATCATTGGGATTCCCGAAAATATTATAACGCTTATATATAATAAATACATGTATTTATATACATGTACGACATAATGACATCTTATACCTATATTTCACAAAATAATGAAAATAAAGCTACAAAGTACACTAATCTCTCGTGTACAAACTACTCTACTTCTCGTCGATTGGAATTTAAATATCTTATAGTTTTAAAGACAATGTTTACTACGATACAAATATGTGAACAATTAGGTTTTTGAGAAAAGTTCATGAAGTCTATATCGATCGACCGTAAGTAGTATAATTTATTATACATAAGCTGATGCACGTATTAAATAAACATTTAAGACGGTCCAAATTTAAAAAAAATTATTGATTTATACGAAATTGTCTAACTCACCTTAGCAATAATAATTTAACATACGAAGAAAGATGACGTAAATAAATCATTTTTATTAATATGAAATGATTTCATATTTATCACTCTTAATCTTGTTCATTGACACAGCTCATCTGAAGGTTATCGGGCAAATTATAGATCCGACACCAAACGTTATAATGAAATTACTTATTCCAAAAATATATTATTGCTTTATTAATAATGTCGGCAACTGACAAACAATGTAAGTCCGAAGCTACTGGCCAGGCACATCAATGCTCACGTATAACTCGCATTGACGTAATGATTTTTCTTTTAATTTATATCGTATTCATCATAGGTGAAGCGAGTGGCCGAGGAGAAGTACAACTACACTTTTGGCAACGAGTCCGTTTCTACCTTCGTGACGGCGTTTTACGACGCGGTGTTGCTGTATGGGCTGGCGCTGAACGAGACATTGGCTAGTGGTGGCAACCAGTCGGATGGGGCGGCGATCGTTAAGGCTATGTGGAACAAGACGTTCACCGGCATCACCGGAGACGTGAACATCGACGCCAACGGTGACCGGATCGCCGACTATTCACTACTTGACATGGATCCCGAGACCAACGAGTTTAAGGTACGTGCATGCAGTGGAGGGTAGTTCGAATGTAAATCGTACATTCGTGCATGTGAAAAGTTCCATTTTAGAAGGGGGAGGAACAGATAATGTAATCATACGCAATACCTATATTATGCAATATTTTTTGGGCACGAAAAATATTTTCATGCAGTCATGGTTTAAACGTTGAAAAATTCTTTCATCGTAATTTGTACTTTGAAAATAACCAACTTTTAATTTCACATTGAACGCCAAGCTAATTTAAGGTTTTTGTACATTTTTGCACAGCATATCTAACGTTCCAATGTAAAATTAATTTAGAAACAAACATATTTTTAGGTGGGTTATGCAGGCATCCGCAGGTTAAATAATATATTAAAAACTGATACCAACATTCTTTATATATATTTTGAACATATTGGTATTCACATTCCAAAAATTGAGGTATGCTTTCAAAAAAAAAAAAAAAAACATGGAAAATCAATTTTTAAATTTTCGATATTATTTAGTGCTGTATAATCATATAGTTATGATGTTTATACATATTTTATGTAAGTATAATAGCATCGGTTAAACAATATTTACAGCTGTACAGATTCGTCATACAACATAGATTCAAATGTTTACTATATAGGGCTTAGGTTTTAACGATTTAAAAATATGTATATGTATGAATACGAATTGCGAAGTGAAGAAAAAATGCATTGGTACTGCTGAAATGATTAAAAACAATATTATTCGAATTGAAATTGAGAATGGATATGGTCTAAAAATTACATAGGGTATGATCTAAAGAATGTCAAAATACGTTAAAAATTAAAAACAAATTTGATCAAATAAGAAACAAAAAAGTGTTACACTTTTCATACGATTCACAGTTTTCGCTGCGGATTATTTTATTTTTTTATTTTTATTTTTTTCCGGACGATGTTTACGTTGCGGACGGATGGACAACGGTTACTCCATACTGTCAGAGAGGCGTGTTTACACATCCGAAACATATGAAAAGTTTAGAATTTATAGCTATAATGTCTAATCCGACGATACTACAGCGGTGTCGAAGTTACAAGTATTACCGTTAATTTGGGTTATGTGGCCAGTACGCGTGACCGACCGCCTAACCTATATTAAATGTTTACTCATTTCCATATCCGTCCGTGCTCTCCGGTTAGGTTAACAAAATCGTATGGTGCGTGTGCGCGGGTGTGTAGTGCATATATCTGTATTCTTATACAACAAGCTACGGGCCGCGGTAAGTTTACTTTGACCGTTTTACTAAAAGTAAATTTAGTGATAAGGCCTGTGTTACAGCGGTATCCGTGTACGCGCACGTTTGTTTATTTTGACGTTTCGACCTTTATGGTTTAAGGCTCAAACACACGCACACAATAATACAAATATATACATATACAGATATTCCGCAGTGTAGTGTTCACAGCTTAGGCTGGATGGGCATCGAACCGTCATAACAAATATGGCAGTCGAACCGTTTCACCCACTGTATACCGCAAGTCGTGTTGCTAATTTGAATGCACCGTAAACACACACGCAAGGAAAACGTCATAGCATAATGATTAAGCAGATATCATTACAAACGTTGCTATGATATGATTATTTACAGTAGGAGAAAAAAAAAAAATGTTAACACAGTTTTATTATAGTGTCATACCATGTTGGTAGATGTGCATTTTGCAAATTCGATGTAACATGCAACGTAAAAGGTGATGTTATATCTAAAAATATTTCTGGTATCATATACGATAGTTATGCAATTTAGATAAAGACTTTCTTTTCTTTACTGAATTATTAGAGCTTATTATATTAATATTTATTGTTCTCTGTTGTTGAAATATTTGAATATACCATGATAAGCATGGATTGATCAATGCTGTAGTAGAATGTTATTTATTGAAAATTAAATTATATACAATTTGTTGTTACACGTGTTCTTGCGGGATGATCTCAAGAATTGATGTTTTGCCAACAGTTTTTGGTTCTAATGTTTGTAAGGTTGAAGATTGTTGATCACATTTATTGTTCAATGTGAGCATACTCACTAGCTGACTTTGATTAATTTTGTTGAACGTGTGTCAAAAGTTTGGCCGTTAGATAGTGTTTCTATATGTATGAAATTGGATTAACGCATTGAGTTTAAAACCGATTTTCGAATCTTGCTGGGCTTATTTTGAAAAAAAAAGTACATTTGAATCGTTATTCCAGAAGTCTAAAAATGTAATTTTGCTTTGTCCAATTATCTACATGTAAGACAGTCTTATGTGTGGTTTATATCATGAGTTCAAATCATGTTAATGAACTGATACAATAATACGCATGCGCGCAAGCGCGTACATAAAAAAATATTTTGGAAGGGGTTCTAGGTTGTACATTTTTATAATAATATAATCTATATACCAAATTTACTATATAAAAACATATTCAATCATTTTCAACCCCTAAAACCCCCCCCTTGTGTATGCGCTTGCATGCACGAGAAAATTATTCTTAACATCAAAAGTACGTGCATAATCTTAAGTCTTAAAATAATTTTTATTGGTCACATGATCGATTATTTTTTAAACAATATATTTCCTAAAGTAGACAATATTGAATTCTAAAATTTAAATATTTCAGATTAAATAATTGGGTTATGATTTTCACGTTATATTTCGTGCTGCAAGAGAAAATACCTATTAATTCATAATTTTTTATTCAAATGTTGGATTTCAAAGTCATTTTTGTATCAAAGAAGGTATTTAAGAGGTGCATTATATAAATATAGGGTAATTTATAATCTATTTGCTATCTTCGATAAATTATTATTTATTCATTAAAAATTGTCTTTGCCAAATGTGATTAGTGATTTTATTTATAAAATTAAAAGACACTTCTTATAATAATATTATTATAAAAATCTATAAAAAATTCTAGAAATTATGGTTGTGTTATGATGGTCTGAATTGAACATGAAGCTACCGTGAAAAGAATTTACTAGGGAAAATTAACTATTTTCTCGAAACAACTGACCTAATAAATCTTACAAACACGCGTCATTGACACTCCAATCACGTGAAAAGCCACCGAAAAGTTGTTGAAGAAATGTAACAAAAAGAATACAAACTAAATGTGTCAAGTTTAAATGGCTAAAATAAAAACATAAAATGTGCGTAAGATTGATCTTTAATAAGTCATTACAATCTTACATCAAACCATAGAAATATTAAAAGTCCTACAAACTCTTTAAAATTAATTAATATATTTATCTCATCTTCATTGATTTAGTTCATCATATTTATAATCAGTGTTTGCATTTTTTTGAAAAAATGATTGCCATCTGTTATTTATTATATTAAATACAATAAAATAGTAAAAGTAATTGATTTTTTTTATATTTTCCATTTATAATAAAATATATTTGTTCCATAAAATTGTCAATTACTAATAATGCTGGTTTTTAAGGTACCCAAATTACGTTATTAAAATAATACTTACTTCTATTGGTTTATTTATGTATATTACAAATATTAATCTAAAATAAAAATAATAACAAATATCATACAATATTTAAATAACTTTATAATTTTCAATAACCATTATGCATAGTGCAGTAAACAATGGTTAATTATAGATCAAATAAAATTTGCATTTAACTATTCTCGTTTATTTTTATCAGTGGTGATATTTTCATGGGAGATATGACTTTATACAGTAATTAAAAACTCGAGGGGGACCATGCCCCCCTCGATACCCTAAGTTTCCGGGAATTATAATAGCTTATTAATATTAAATGTACAATCTATATTTGAGAATGTTGCCAAAATTATAATATATAACGTGTTACTTGAAAATAAATATTTTATTAAAGCAAAATTGAATACTTATTACAATACCAAATCTAATTTTCTTGATTTTGTTGCTAATACCATAATTTATTACTTCCTTAACTGACAACAGTGTTAACGGTGTCTAAAAAAAATAACTTAATTTATTATATAAAAACATTAAAACTAAAAAATATATTTGTTAAATCTCTTTCATTGTATTACGCAGGTAGGTCTTAAAGCATTTTAAACTAGAGAAACTTCTCACTGGAGTTGCTGTTAAAATAGACAAACTAACAAATACTTTTAATAAAAATGAACATTCGGATATACTTCTTCATCGCAATTGTTTAGAGCTTCTAATCCATTTTAAGTCACTAGTGGTCAATTTCAATTTCCACATCTTGAGTTTAGCAATAATATTGTTTTTATCAATTTTAGGGGATATAAATCAATCAAATGTTTAATTTCCTTCCTGTCTTCGTCTGAAAATTTTGAATAAAATAAGCATTCAAAACCTAGAAACAAACAATTTAAATTGTGAATAAAAAAAAGTAGGCAACATTAAACAACAGGAAAGTAATTAAAATTGTCACCTTAATGTTAAGGACTTGAAGTATCTTTAACATACCCCTTAAAAAAATGTTATGGCTTAAAAAACAATAATTAACTTCAGATATAAAATTGTCCAAAAAAAAATAATAGTATAGTCACTCTAAAGTACTATTTATTAGGTGTTAAATGTTGAGGGTTCACTCGATTTGTTATCTTTTTGTGAGTAATTGTATTTCCAAACAAATCAGCTGATCTCTATAGAAATAAATATTATTTCACAAACATTATTACTATCATTATTACAACATCTTAAAATACCTGTGCTTCTTCAAAAATTAATTTAAATTAAATTTTATTTATTATTGCTTCTATCATATTTTTTAAAATTTCAATAGGTTTTTTAAAATAAATTCTCTTTTTTCTGTAATTTTTTGCATACTGGTAAGCCATAAGAAAATAGTACATATGATGTGTAAGACATAAAATCGAATACATTAATATGAATTGAAATTGAAATTCGAAAAATATCTACCTTCATCGATATCATTAATCATTTTGCGAATAACTTCTTTACGATATAATATTTTAAAGTTCTGTATTATACCTTGGTCCATTGGCTGTAGTTGTGAAGTCGTATTTAGTGGA